TGCATGTTGCGTCAGGATTCAGAAGGCATGCAATCGATTGTATTGTCCGGAGGGAGGACATTTCGTTCTCCATTTGGCGCACACGTGTTTTGAGATTTTCTAGGTCATTTAGGACTTCAGAACCTACTGGCAATGGTGAGAGAGTGTTGCCGGGTTGAGGAGGCAAGGATATGTCAGTTAGAACAACTGAACAATCTAAGTTTGCCTGGGATGCTGTCTTTACCGGATTCGGGAGGTGAGGGTGTTGGGAGCTGGATCTTCCGGATCTAAACCGATTCCTTGAACATACCGGGTGGATAGCTGATGGGGATTCGAGGTCTAGCGACCGCTTTGAGGAAGACGGGACCGGTGACACAATGAGAAACTTCGGAGCAGGTTGAGGAATGATTTATTTGGTGGAATACAGTTGAGAGTTCTGGGGTAGTAGGATTGCATTGAGATAGTCACAGTCAGTCTCAGATAACTGTGTGGGCTGGTAGTTCAGATAGGACGGTGGAAGCGTTAAACAGTGGCGGAACGTTGAACGGAACCACTATGTAGATGAGGGCTAAGCGCGCTCTACAAACTGGGGCCAGCACTAATTAGGCCTACTGGAGAAATGAAAGCCTGTTTGGCACCGTGAAAAATAGCTATCCAGTATAAAAAAACTGGTAAAAGACCTATGGATGGGCTAGAATAATGAAAAAATCCACAACACCTGACCTTGTGGTTTTGGTTTCGCGCCGGGCACAGTTTTATTCTAATAAGCTCCTAATAAGCTCTGATAAACAACGTCCACTCATCTCGACATCTTGACGTTGCCAAAGGAATTTCACAACCATTGACACTGTACTCTTAAATGACCTTTATCAAATCCGGTAAAAAGCTATGACAGTTACAGCTTGCTGCCCGAAATGGATAAACCAAAGCAAACGTACGACAAGAAATTGACGTTTTATTTCACCAGCTCATTTGTGTTTCTGATAAAAGTTTGTTCACAACCTACAGTTCTGACGCAATCGACCGCAAGCAACATGAATTTAGGTTTAAGGAATAATCTCGTAATTCATGACTGTATTCCATTTGCTCTGGGTAGAGCTTAGTCTGAGCGGGCAGCGGTTTGTTTTATATTCCGAGAGACTAAACCATTTTATCACCGGACTATTTGATGCCACACAATTTAGTTCTACCGTTACAAAAAATCATGATAAACTGACCGTGTTTAATTGTAAATTTAGTACATTCGAAACGCATGCAGGCAGCCGAAACTCCATTGTTCCCGAGGCATCTGGCAAGGAAACTACCACGTGTTCCCTACTATTCCTCGGAATATATTATTTAGTTATTCACACCTGAAAAACAATGGAGCAATACCTAAGATAATTCTGGCCAGGATTCTTTGGCTTCACTTTGGCACTCTATTCCTTAAACATTAAACCTTTGAGGTTAGCACAATTGCTCCTTTCTTTAGATTTCACATTGCTTTTGTTATGGATAACACGAAACTTGCGAACCTAAGTGTTGACATCAGGCAGTTAAGGCACTTCACCAGTAGTCATTCAGTCGATAGTCAAATGCACGTGAGGCACAATGAGAACACCATTTCCGCTTGACTGTGAGAAATTTCTTATTTGTTTAATTTCAACGCCTTGAATCATAGGTCAACCTAAGAGATTAAAAAAGGCTTCTAGACAATGTTCGTCGTAACGCTCATTACTTTTCTCTCACATACATATGCACGCTAAAAATTTCCCTAAACCCATACAACACCAAAGCAAACATTCACACACACGACGATTGCGGCTATCAGATTATACGCAGTTCCTATCCAGTTTACAGTAGGAACGGACGGGTGAGGGCAGCAGATGATGTATTGAGGACTAGCAGAAACTGGTTCTATAGACAAACAGGTCAGTAGGCATCGCGAATTGAGCAAATGTACAATCAATAATAGTGAAATGAGCAGGAGCATAAAAAGTCGACGAAGCAGCTTTGATTACTGGAACTAAGAGCAAACAGGCAACAAATGATGTACAAATGCACAGCTACGGCCAGTCTGTCAGCGTGTGTCGGCTGTATAGCGAAATAATGGCGAAGAAAACAATCAATAGTTTTGGGAGGTGTAGGACTGTATTTGGTTGACGGCGCGATGTGGCAGCTCGTGTCACGTGACAAATCATATTGCGCGGGTGGGACCGTTTAAAACAAGTCCCTTAAACGACTATCTGGTAGATGCGGCATATAGGTGATACAAAAAATGGAGCCTTCCAAGCGGCGAGTTCGCGTAGTGGGCAACCTGCTTACCCACCATCCGAGGAGACCTGTAATGCTTCCCGGTCGGACCGTCCTTTTAGAGCAGATGTTCAAAAGTAGGTAGAATTGGGACGAAATTGTACGCAATGATGGACGTGCGGCGAAAGACTGACATAAGTTACTGACGCATAAGCAGACCTGAAGAAGCAGCAAAATAGGAGGGAAACGAACAGCAAGGAAACAAAATGGCTTTGTAGTAAATGGGCACAAGCCGTGTTGCTTACGAGTGTTCGGAACACAAAAGGAACTCACCGCTGTTCACCTTTTCTTCACAAGGAGACTAAACAAACACATTACCTGTAATTTTGGGCACGGATCTTGCTTATCTTGAGCAGCATATTGCGATCAACCCACAAATTACGTTTGCAAGCAAGACATCAAGTTGGGCGACCGGTGTGAGGCAAACATTAAAAAATTTCCGGTGTAAACTGATATAGAATGAGGGTGGCAGTGCTGATCAAAGAATACTTCTCTTCGAGCGGAGGAACGGGTGAAAAGAACAAGCATGCTTTGCAAACGTGATAGGTTCTGAAATCCGGAGCGTCGGCGTCTTTTTGGTCCTCAGTCAGTTTACAATAAGTCGATCGGCTTCGGACGATTCGACGGTATGCAGTATCAACTATCGCTACAAAAGAAGGGAATTCTTTCGGATGGAAATGAAGAAAGGTTGCAAACAACCAATTAGTGAAACATGATATGGGTTTTTAAGAACAAAAGATGGTCCCACAATTATGGCTTGCGTAAAAACCAGGAATGCAAAACAGCAGCAACAGGACAACGTGCATTAAGTGAACATTTTTGGGCGGCTTAGAGGATTATGTGTAATGCTATGCGATGAGCGTGTAAGCGCAAGAACTTAGGCTCTTCAGGTGACCGGTATGCCTATATTTTTAGAAATAGGGATGCTGCCACTCAAATGGTTCGTTGGGTGAAGCAGCCCAGGCCAGAAACCACAAACTCCGATTACACTGGATTCAACTGTAACCACCGGCAGGCGTGAGTTAGGGAACTCATTAGCTTCTCCCTAGAACCTCGATGAGGATTCCGACACATGTGAAATAGACGAGAGCATTTATCCCACTCCTTATATCAATGAGCAGAGCCATGAATGTCAGGGTATTTACATTCCGGCTTTCGCTCGCAGGTTTTGAAAGTGGAAATCGTTGCGGCACGAACTCCTTTTCATGTACCTTGACCCGTGGTTCCATACGTCGCTAGGTAGTAGTTTATCGAGCCATAATTTTGCGGCATGCGGAACCCATAAATTTGGCACCCCGTCTGACGTAAATGAGCTCCGCATAGTGCTTTATGCGATAAGAGTAACGTCTGGGTCTAGTTCTCGGGTTTCGGCACCTCAAGATTACCCTGCAACAGTTTCAGTTATTACCACGGGGGTAGGACACGACTTGAAAATCAAATGCGAGCCCACCACCAGGCACAAACAGGCAAGCGATACCCAGAAATTACAATAGACTTTACTATTGCCAGGGGGTTTATTTTGCTTGCGATTGACGAGATCAGGCCAGTTGCCGGTCCATCATCAAGGCATGCTTTGCTTTGTCAAAAGTCTGAACCCCATAGCCTACTGTGCCGCGGTATCTGCCAAATGCAGACATTTACGCACAGCTGTCGATTAGTTCCTCCTTGGAGCCGAAAAGCAAACTTGCGGAACTCACTGTGGTGGGATTCTGTGTCTCGGTTCAAGTCAAAATCATAGGACGATTTCGTTGGGGACCGGTTACCAATCAGAACTTTGCGTTTCTGAGCAAGCTGGGAGCTAAGAACCAAAACAAATTATTAATCCGTGAGCTAACTTATGGTAAAAGCCTGAAAGGCACTACCGCAAAGCGTGCAAAGTCCGCTATTGCAACAGTCGATGTGATATCCTACGCGGTCCGTTGCACACTAGTGGTCACGGCTAGTAGTAGGTTGGTCTGTGTTCCAGAACAACCATCTGGGTTGAGTGGCGCTATCCTAGAAAATCGACACCGGTTCGTCAAACGTTAAGACTTGGCGCAGCAGGATTGTCCCTGAAAAATAAAAGGCCTCATGAGGAATGTTGCCCTCCTGGGTTTCAGCCCCCTAAACTTATCCATTCCTCGGTTAATTTTACTACGCAAGCCGCCGAAAGCTATCGGCGGTAGCTCCAGAACACGTTCAGGGGGTGAACGTTGTCTCTATAGGTTGTAATACGACGGCCATCGTTGGTGGACTAGGAGCCAACCCACGAGGGAATCTATGAAGAATGTTTCTTGCTGCATGAAAGTGGCTGACTTCGAGATACAGACAGCAGTTGGACGCAGTGAAGCCACGTCGCCCGGTAAACGGGCCGTTTGTATTCGGCAAGACAGATCTCACCTGTCCGGGAGCACCTGGGTGTTCTCACCACGATTTTTAGGTTAGTTAACCTAGACAGACCTCACCATGTTAGTTCCAGCACTGCGACAATACAGTCTCGGGGGCTTCCGTCCCAAGGTCCTCAAAACGGGGGAGTACTCATAATTAGTAATTTGATGGACCATGTTCAGAACGCAGATAGGGCCATACAGGATTGCCCGTCAACAGCATCCCAGTCCTCGTGCTTCTTTCTGGTGGCATGACAGTTAGGCACCAAAAGGGGGCTACAGCTGAATGGTTTATATTTATTTTTACTCCCAGTATTATTCAGTAGGAGGGCACCACTCCGGGTTGA